GGGGATGTAGGCGGAGGCGGAGGGCGTGACACAGCCACTCTGGGCTGAACCTGGCTCCACAGCCTGTGCGTTTCACTGTGTTTCATGCAAAACATTTTTCTCAAAATAGCCTGAAAGTAACTTTCATCACTGTTTAACGAATCAACAACCAAACGATTCGTCGACATAATAACCAGCCGATTAACCTCCCTGCTGACAGATGGTCGGACTCAGTGGAGGCTTTTTAATCCAAATATGAAACTCATTTGTGCACTGCACTGTTCAGCTAGTACTGCTGGTGGGTCTGAGTCTCAGTGTGTCTGTTAAACCTGGTTCTGTACAGTCCATGCTGTCCTGCACACACCACTGCATTGCCCTGACCCTCAGTGTTTGTTCCCTCAAGCAGAGGAGCATCTGAACTGGGAGCCTGTCTCTCTCCTCTCCCTCGCTCTCTGTCACTCATGTTCCCTGTGTTGGACCTGGACCTGGTCCTGGGACCTCTCTGGCCTCTGGCTGTTGGTGCCTATTTACAGGTCCTTGGGGTCCTGGCCTCCTTTTTGTCCTATCCCTCTATATGTTTATACAGTGTTCTTCATATACATCTACAATCTATCCATCTGGCCATTCTGATCGAGCACACTGTAAATCTGTGATGTTGATTTATTCTGTATACAGGACCCCTATTTCCTGTCTATCCTCCTGTGCTGTGCTTCCTGAGGTTTCTTCCATTTTCCCCCATTAAAGAGTTTATTTGGGGAGTTGTCCTCGATCTGACTCGAGGCGCCACAGACAGAGGCTGCCGTGTTCTGTAAAGCCCCTTGAGGTTAATCTGTGGCTTCTCATACTGAAAGCTGCAGCTCTGAGCGACTCTGCTGACTGAACACCGGCCCTCCTCCATCAGCACCTGTGGGTCGTCACCATGGAAACCTGCTCCAGTGACCTCTGACCTCTGACACACGTGGAGCTTTCGATCCAGCCGAGGAAGCTCATGATTACAGCCTGAATGTTGAGTCGGTCTACAGACACAGAACCAGTAACTTCTCCCATCGATTTAAATGTCCCAAATTCAACCAGTGTCTCAGATTGTTACTGTTCTCTGAGTTAACAGGAGAAAGATTTCTGGGTTCTGGACAAAAAGAGATGTTAGAAGAAACGTGTAACTGTGAGAAAACTGGTGTTTTCTTAGACTTTAAAACAATTATGATCGATGGGTATTTAAGGATTGTTATTGTGATGAAGGTGAAGAAAAATAAAGATAAAATGAAGATGAATGTGATGAACACGACAGAAAAAGAGTTTTTTTCCTCAGATGGAACCAATGAGGAGGAGGATGAAATTTATAACTGGTAAAGATGAAGATGATAAAAGTAAAGATATAATCACGATGAAGGTGGTGAAGATGATGACAACGAGCAGGGAGTAAAAGACAAAGACCAATAGAAACATTATGAGGAGGAGGAGGAGGAGGAGGGTGAAGATAAAATATATGAAAAAGAATAAGGTTTTCAGGGTTTAAAAGATGAAGATCAGGACTGTTCTAAAACTGATAAGGAAGATGATGAAGATGAAGGTCATGAGGAAAATACAGGTATCATATAGATGAAGGTGGTGAAGATGATCAGGACAGAAGAGAAAACGCTGCTGCTGATCACAACGGGAGTTAAGATGAAGATGATGAAGGTTATACAGAAGAGCAGCACAGGTCACTGAGGGCATCTTGGTTTGCTTTGCTGCTCGGGCGGAAACTGGGCGTCTTAAGACAGGAAGTCACTGAGCTGCAGACAGGAAGCAGTACACCCTGCCCACACACACATGCACACACACGTGCACACACAGGCACACACACGTGCACACACAGCCAGCTCCAGGAACATTCACAAAGACAGAAACAGTCAAAGAAACAAGTGAGACCTGCTCTTTTCATCTGACTGGAGTCTTTTCTCGCACAAACCTGTTTCTGCTGCCACTGTTCAGATGCCACCTGGGACAAACTGAGGTGGATGTTTTCAAAGTTTCATAACATTTTTGAAACAAAACAAGTGGTTAATGATCATGACAGGAATCAGCACAGCCCTGAACCCTTCATCGCGGAGCAATTCGCATGTTTGCATTTAGTGGTGTGACAGAAAACAGAAAAAACTGAAATTTTAATCTTTGTTGGAACGTTAGTGGGATTAAAGGAACTGCGCTAAGTTGGTTCAAATCTTATTTATCAGAAAGATTTCAATTTGTTCATGTTAATGACGAATGTTCCACACAAACTGAAGTTAGTCACGGCGTTCCACAGGGCTCTGTGTTAGGTCCAATTCTCTTCACTTTATACATGCTCCCTTTAGGCAATATTATCAGGAAGCACAACATAAATTTCCATTTCTATGCAGATGATACTCAGTTATATTTATCTATGAAACCAAATGAATCAGATCAGGTGGTCAAACTTCAAGCATGTCTTAAAGACATAAAGGCCTGGATGACCTGTAACTTCTTACTTCTAAACTCTGACAGAACTGACGTTATTGTGCTTGGGCCTGAAAACCTTAGAAATCTGATGTCTAGTCATATAGTTACTTTAGATGACATAGCTCTTGCCTCCAGTACTACTGTGAGGAACCTTGGAGTCATCTTTGATCAGAATATGTTCTTTAAATCACACATAAACCAAGTCTCTAGATCTGCCTTCTTTCACCTGCGCAATATTGCAAAAATTAGGAGCATCCTGTCTCAAAGTGATGCTAAAAAACTGGTCCATGCATTTGTTAGTTCCAGGCTGGACTACTGTAACTCTTTACTATCAGGATGTCCCAATAATTCCCTAAAAAGCCTCCCGTTAATCCAAAATGCTGCAGCCAGAGTACTGACAGGAACTAGCAAGAGAGATCATATCTCTCTCATATTAGTTTCTCTCCACTGGCTCCCTGTAAAATTCAGAATAGAATTTAAAATCCTTCTCCTAACATACAAAGCCCTTAATGACAAGGCTCCATCGTATCTTAAAGACCTCGTAGAGCCTTATCATCCTAACAGAGCACTTTGCTCTCAGAGTGCAGGTTTACTTGTGGTTCCTAGAGTCCACAGAAGCAGAATGGGAGGCAGAGCCTTTAGCTATCAAGCTCCTCTCCTATGGAACCAACTCCCAGTCTCAGTTCGGGAGGCGGACACCCTCTCTACCTTTAAGATTAGACTTAAGACTTTCCCTTTTGATAAAGCTTATAGTTAGGGCTGAATCAGGTGACCCTGAGCCTTCCCTTAGTTATGCTGCTATAGGCCTAGGCTGCTGGGGGGTGGGGGGGTGGCCCATGATGCTATGAGTTTCTCTCCCCTCTCCTCTCCTTTCCTGCCCTCTCCTCTCTCTCCATCCATCTATATGCCACCACTACCCATCACTAACTGTCTCCTCTCTCCCATAGTGTGTCCTCTCTCTCTCCCTGTACCTTTCTGGCTCTGGAGCTCTATGTTTCTGATGAGCAGTCACCGGCCACATCAACCTGACCAGTTTTTGTTGGTTTGTTGTTGTTTGTTGTGTCTTGTTGCTTTTCTTTTCATCGCTCTCTCCTCTATCGACTTGGGGTCTGTGGAGGCTTCTTCCGTTAAAGGGAGTTTTCCTCCCCACTGATTTGTTGGGTTTCTCTCTGTAACAATCTAAGGTCCAGACCTGTTATGTAAAGTGCCCTGACATGATTGTTGTTGTTGTTGTGAACTGACGCTGTACAAATAAAACTGAAATAAACTGCTTATTCACTGTTTCAGCTTTAGGAAAAATAAACTTGTTTCAAACATTTGCTGTGCCTTTCTCCTTTGCTTCCTGTTTCATGGTACAGAAGCTGATTTCTACTGGAACCAGACTGAAGTTTTGCTCCTGAACAAGCTGAACTCAGCCACAACACATTTCTTTTCTCCTGTTCATTGCTCAACAGCATGAGATGAAGAAAAGGCTTTTAATCTGTTTTTTCAAACGAAGTCTCTTCTTTTTCTATGGTTCTGAAGATCTAGAACAAAAATGATTTTAATAGGTTTTGGTCCAGAACTGCGGGGAAACGTTAAACCGGCCGGGACCATCAGCGTAACCTCATCTGTCTGACTGACTCTGATCAGTTCACTGATCAGTCAGCCTGTTTGATCAGTGACGTCAGCAGGCCGTGAAACCTGCTCCTGCTCCCGAACCTCAAACAGACCCTCCTACAACCAAATACGCGCACTGAGTCGATCAGTCACAGGAGCGTGTCATTCAGTCACAATTGATTGACAAGTGATCAGCAGCTGCAGACAGAGCAGACGCGGGCCCGGTGAACCCGGGGCACACAAGAGAACATGCTGAAGCTGTCACGCGTGCATGTTGCGGGTGTGTGCATGTACTCACGGTGTTCCGCAGGTCCTGCAGCGCTACGCTCATCCTGGAGCTCCGTCCGCGCCAACAGAGCGCTACCAACGGCCGCTCCGCCGGGCCATCCTCCCCGGCTGTCCGTGCGTCTCCTCCGGCTCCGTCTGTTCTCCTGCTTGCCTGGCTGTCTCTGTGTCCGTGTCTCTGACCGTCTCCTCTCCCCGTGCGCGCGGCAGCAGAGGGATCGGGAGATTTTTCTCTTTTCTCTCCTTCACTCTCACCGTTTCCTCAGACCCCGCCCAACATCCAACCAACGTCTTCCTCTCACAAACAAACACACCCCGAGGCACGGAGGCTGACGTAATCAGCACGGAGCTACGTCACCTCCTCCAGCTCCTCAGCCAATCTATCTATCTATCTATCTATCTATCTATCTATCTATCTATCTATCTATCTATCTATCTATCTACGTCTGTTGTGCTGAAAGTATCAAGACTTGTTTTCAGATAGTTCCACATTTCACATGAAGTACAGGTTAAAGTATTTTATCTACCTATCTGTCTGAAAGTATGAAAACTTCTGTTTTGAGATAATTTCACAGGTCAAATGATTTTAGTATTTCTAAATGGCAGATACTGGTGTGAAGCCAGTAATCAGAGACCAAACCAGTGAGCAGTGTGGGGAGGCTCCTCTGAGTCTGAGCTCAGTTGTCCCGCACAGTATTGTCACATTACTTCCTGTTACCTGGAGCAGGTGAAGCACTACAGTATTTTTATTGTCAGAACAATCTGTTCATAGTAGGGAAACATGTCAGCAAACTGGTGGAACTGGTTGAACTGGGACCAGTCAGTGAACAAAAGCTCCACCTAGTGAAAAGGTGTGCACTGAAACTGTCTTCAGAGAGAAAGCAAAAGCACATTTTATTCAAAGTAAACAGTACCTCTGTGTATCTGACTGCAGTGTAAGTACTGCACTTAAGCATAATCTTTATGTATTTGTTCTGTACTTGAGTAATTCCATGTTGAGCTACTTTGTACCACTACTACATGAATCTGACATCGTAACTATGAATACAACATAATCTGTAAATGTTGTACTATTATAGATGAAGTACTCACACATAGTCCCATCTTTACCAGCTGCAACATTAAAGTTATTTGTACACATTACTGCATCCAATGTGGTAAAAGAGTACTTTTACTTTTGCTACTTCACTTGGAACAGAGTATACTACTACACTGCTGTACTACTTTGGTTATATTTTGTGTACTGGGCAATATGATCTGAGTTTTTCATTAATATTTTTGGATATTCCAATACTTTTTTGACATTTAAAACTATTTTCATATATTCTACTAGTATTTGTGTATTATGTACAACTATGTTTTTAAAACTGTTTTCTAGATCATTGCGTAATTATTCATATGTTTATGGATTTATAGTGTTTTGATTTTTCCCCAAATATTTATTGATATTTTACATTTTTCAGTATCTTTCTAATATTTTTGGATATTTTAAACTAATATTTTATGCAAGTTTTAGTGGTATCTGATAAGAGCCGTGTTTAAAACCTCGCAGACTAATGTAAGAGCTGGTTCCACTCAGTAAAACCTGCAGGACCTGCTGATGTGAAGGGGAAACCGGTAAAACCAGTCCTCCCACAGAGGAGTCGCTCGTTCCTGTAACAAACACGTTTCATCTACTCATCAGTCAGTTACTGCTCAATTGAGTGCTTGCTGACAGCGCCACCTGCTGGCACGCACACGCGCACACACACGCAGTGCCAGTAGGAGCAGCGGTCTGTTCAGTGTCGTCACTGGCATCAGGCCTCATGTAGCAGTTGGACATATTGCAGATGAACAGGTTACTGAGTTCTTCAGATGATTGTTGACCAACCATTTTTTAAAACCATTTCTCAGGTAGTTTACTAACATTTTTAGGACTTTGCTTTTTTTAAATATATGTTTTTACACATACATATTTTAGGATGGATTTTCTTTGTACACATTCAGACTGATGCTGAGCGAAGTGATGTGATGACACATCGGTGAGGCCAATAATAAAAACATTTACATGCATAAAACCTCTGAAATATCAAACCCAAACTGGAAACTCCATGGAGCTCTGGAGCCTCCTGCAGGAAGTGTGTGTTCATCACGTGCTGTGTATCTCAGGACTGGTCACACCGCCAAAATAAAATGTGCACCATGTTCAAATAACCTGACTGAACTGAGACCTGCTTTTTCTCTTTGTCTGACAAAGACCAGCCCCAGAAGTGAACAGGATGGACAACAGACGGGTTTCAGTGCTTTCAGAGAGCTGGAGCGGGTGATGGACTCGGAGCAGAGCATCATTCACTTCACATACGTCAGAAATGTTTGTGTTGGCAAGAATAAGAATAATATTTATAATAGCTTTTCAAACTGAAAGCTGCATGTGCATATTGTCAGAGATGATGTAATGCAGAGTTTCCCCTGCAGAGGGCAGAGATCATCCCACTGTAAAATCCAGAACCAGAACCAGAACCTGAGAACAGCTGGACCAGGACCAGGTTTACCGGTCCACTGTGTTCATACACAAAGGGAAACCAGTTTGTTCCTGCAGCTCTGGCTGATTTATTCTGCTTCTCATGACACTGAAATGAACCAAACACAACCAGACATCCTTCTTTATGATGAATATGATGGTGAAGGACTAACCCTCCTCCTCCTCCTCCTCCTCCTCATTCTTTATTGGCTCTTCACAGTAAATCGCCCTTTGTCCTTTCTTGCTCTACTCTTCTTTTAGTTCTTTTTCTTTTCTTCTTTCCTTTCAAACAACTTTCTTCTTGCCTCTGCTCATCCTCCACCTCCTACATCTGTCTTCCTCTTTTCCTTTGTTCCTGTGGAAAAAAGGATGTAGAGCAGTAAATGAGGAGGCAGCACAGGAACGGAGGAAGCAGAGAAGGAAGGAGGGAAAGGAGTGATGAGACAACAAGGTCAAGTAAAAGTGAGGCTTTATGTGAATCTTCAGCTTCACCTTGTGGCTCGGTCTCTTTCAGGCTGAAGAAGAAAACAGCAGCTGTGACTCTGAATGAACGATGAGTTTTCTTTTCACTCGACTTGAATTCAGATATAAACCCTCAGCAGCGTCAAATCAGACGAGCGTTTCATCTCTGAGAGACGAAGACGACGTAGAAACACCTGCAGGTGGACCAGCCTAGAGACAACAGGAAGCCAAATCATCATCACCTGTCTCTGCTGTCGTCTCATCACACCTGCAGCTGCTCTTGCATTGGCTGAAACCACATCTCCTCATTTCAGGGCCTCAGGACATTTAAGAAGAACTGCCGGGGGGTCATGCTCCTTAAATGTTCAGTAATGTGTTGTATGTCTTTGTGCCTTTGGGCACCAGCAATGAAAAGTACAATAAAACCAGAATTTAAAAAAATGTTCCTTTTGTGTTTCTTTACGGCCATGGTGCGTCTTCTTAATCACATGGATTCGTAGCCATTCCCACTCCTCCAGACTGGAGATGTTTCCTGACGACTGGAAGTCTGCTCTTGTGGTATCTTGTGGCTACTATAATAAAAGGAGAAAGGAAAAGAAACAGGTGAGGGGATTCACCTGTAGAGAACACACACTGGACCCTACAGAGTTATTCACATCAAATGAAGCAGGACATGAAAACAGGCCACAGACACAGCCAACTGCTTCATGGGACTTCCTGAAGATAAAGAAGAGGAGCACCAGCAGTGTTGGCCTGTGTTTCTACAGCACTGAGTCCCAGGTGAACCTCAGGCCTCCTGATACATCCTGCCACATAGCTGGTGGATTTCCCACCGGGCCTTAACAAAATCTGATGGTTCTACTGGGTTTGGTTTGGTTCTGTAAAGGAACTGCAGTGATCAGGTACATGTAGTGCAGTAAAAAGTACACGCTTTGTCTCTGACAAGTGGTAAAGTCACAGTATGAAGGAGCAGGACATGGAAAGTATCCATCTATTCAGTAAAATAGCCCCCAGTTACTATAACGTGCACTATTATGCATCATATACAGTCATAAGAAGAAGCCGAGGCCCTGTTTGCAGTTTCCTGTCTTTTGTATAAACTGGTCATGAACTGTGACCTGATCTTCACCAAAGTCACAAATATCAACAAACACAATGTTTCTAAGCAGATAAAACACAATCAGTCCTGATCCTTCATGTCTTTATTGAACACATTAAACACACACACTGACGTGGACCAAGTCATGACAACTGGTTGAACCACCTTTGTCACCAATGACCTCCAGCCAGCGCTTCCTGTGGCTGTGGATCAGACCTGCACCACGTTCAGGAGGAGCTTCGGACTGTTCTTCCTGACAGAGCTGCTTCAGCTCAGACATATTCTCAGGACGTCTGGTGTGAACGTCTTCAGGTCGTGCCATACAGCACTATGTGTGCAGAAAACCAGGAAACTGCAAACAGTGCCATGACCTTGTCTGGCTATTGTACCTGCATATATGTCAGCATCTGTGAAGTAACTGCATTTGTGCTTTAAATGTAAAATGTGTACGGCGTAAAGTACAATTCTCTGATTCAAGTTGTACTGGTGTAGAAGTATAAGGTAGTAGTACCAAATGTACTCAGTAAAATACAAGTACTTCACAAATGCACTTTCTTCAGGTTGGTGTTGGGTCATGTCTCCCAGCGGAAGACGTTGCATAAGGACATGACTCACAGCAGGTTGGTTTCATCATGTAACACCTCCCACAGGCGTATCATCCACCTGCACACTGAATGCCGTGGCTACCCATCATGCACCGGGCTCAACAAAGACCTGAGACACTTTGACTTCACCTCCAAACCTGGAGACGGTCGATAACGTTACCGTGACAATAAGCTTTGTTTTTCTGCCTTATCAGTCAGTGGGTGGTTGGTCCACACCTGCTGAGAGCAGTTTGACCTCTGACCTCTGCTGTGGGTGTCATCCTGCTCTGTGTGTGTGTGTGTGTGTGTGTGTGTGTGTGTGTGTGCATGTGATGTATACTGCAGCTGATTAGTCGTCTTTTTGTTTTCAGTGACTCGTCCTTTTTAGGTAGAATGCGCCATCAGCAGCCATTCACACACGCACAGTGGAAAGGCAGCGTGCGTTGTGTTCCAGCCAAGCTTTCAGCTGTAATTAAAGCTCATCAACGTTTATTGAAGCCATGTAAACGCTGCCGTCTGATTGGCTGAGGCTTTTTGTGCGGCTGCAGCTGCTCCTGCTTGTTTATTACAGAAAACGCTCACATCTTAACGAGATGGAGAGGTGTGTGATGTCACAGCTTCCTGTGGGAGATTGAAGACACCTGCAGTCTCACCTTAGGAACACACATTGCTGCTGCTGAGGCTCTGGGGTCAAAGGTGGGGACTGAGACCCGAAGCGTCGATGAGCTCTGACATTATCAGTTCCGCTGTCTGTACCGGGGAAACAAAGGAAACAGGTTTCCTAGTTATTACTGCTACATAAAGGTTTTCTTGCTCATTGATGTCACCAGCTCTGTTTTGTGAGGAAGACGTTGGAGACCTCTCTCTGGGGGAGACGGGGTGTAGGGGGTGTAGGGGGTGTGGCCATCTCTGTCTCACATACTGTATCAACACACACACCCACACACACACACATACACATTAACCTTAACCTGTAATAGTAGTACTACCATTAGAATCTTAATGATAACCATCCTTAGTCAAAGGTCATGTTAGGATGCCAGAACCATTTTTTATGTTCAACCTACATGTAACAGTTTGTTTGTTGCTGCAGAGTAAACACCTTCAGGCCAGGTTAGAGGACAAGGATGACAAGTTTTTCTATTTGTGTTATGTCCCACAACCCCGTCCAGAGACTAGCAGCACCAGTGAACGTGGTGTCCTCACCATAATCTGAGTCCAGATGTCAGGATCGGCACGTTACAGGGGTGAACTCAATTAAATAGCCAGATAAGGATAAGTGAAAAACTGTCTCTTTAATAAGAGTACGAATAACAAAACGATATGGAAAACTACGTAAAACACGATACACACACTCAGCTGGAAAACACAGTCCAGGGTCAGAGCCAGCAAACTTGCACAGCCGAGGAATCCACAAACAAGAAGTCAGAGAGGGAAGTCTGATAATCCATACAGAAAGCAGTCCGAATCAAGAGGGCAAGGCAGAATCGGTGGTCTGAATTACAAAAAAACAAGAACGCTAGAAAGTCTGCACGGGAGTCAAGAACAATCTGGCAGCTTTCCAGTGGGGGAAAGCTGCTTATAATGGGGTAAAAACAGGTGTAAACAATTGAGTGCTGATCAAAGTAAAAGGTCCACAGCTGATATAGCGAAACCAGGACGTTTTGTCAAAATAAAGGCATGAGAATGGAAGCTGACGGGACAGAGTCATGACACCAGACCCTGGTTCAGCTTATCGCTCTGTGCCGTAGACCTCCACTATTGTCCAGCAGCTATTAAACCCCCCCAGTGCAGCAGTGTGGCCAGGTTTTCTCCTCAGGAAGCGTGGTCTGTTTTAAGCTGAAACTGGGTCCAGACAGACACAAGGGGCAAGGAGAACCAGAGGCGAAGAGGGAGTCCAGATGGAGGTCAGCAGCATACACCCAGTTCACACCAAGCAACAGCACAAACCAGAGGCAAAGCCCACAAACCAAGCACAGTTAAGTCATTTGAACATGGGAACAGGTGGTTGGAGCACAGAGAAGACCAGATGATCTGGCTGGGAGCAAAGGGAAGCAGGTCGGTATATGTACTGTGGGAACCAGGTGTGCAGGTGAGTCAGGTGACCAGACATGGGGGGGGCAGAGGAGGCAGCTTGTGGACATCTGGATGCTGAATGGGGCTGAACATGGCGATCAATATTTCTATCAACTGACTGAACACGGCTCAACTCAAAATCATATAGAAATAATGTATGAATTTGTCTGAGCCTGTCATGTGACCTCAGATGTTGTCATGTGACCATGTCAGTGGTGAACGTGTGTGTGTTCTTGTACTTGCTACATAGTGAGGACCAAAAAAGTTAGTCTTTTGCTACAGAGTGAGGACATTTTGGCCGGTCCTCACTTTGTGAAACACCTTTCTGAGGGTTAAGACTTGGTTTTAGGGCTCAGGTTAGAGCTGGGTTTAGGTTGGGGCTAGGCATTTAGTTCTGATGGTTAAGCTGAAGGGACTAGGGAAAGCAATGTCAATGAATGTCCTCACAAAGAGAGAAGTACAGGTGTGCGTGTGTGAGCTGCCAATCATCAGCTCTCATTAAGCTCTAACTCCTGAAAGCTTTTTTGACAAAGAACTAATGGATGAAAGGAGCTGCTAATCTGACTGCAGCAGCTGCTGCGCACGCACACACACACACCACCTCCGTGTGTGCGCTGCCCCGCAGTGTCTTGATTTAGGGCTAACAGAAGTCCTGTACTTGCACTAGACTGATTGTGTGGTGACTGGTGCACATACTCCACTGCACTGTGTCACAGGTGGAATCCTCCTAATACATGTAGTGCAGGGCCAAATCACGTCTTATTTGTTCCCCCAGCTCTCATGTAAGAGCTGTCCCTTAAACCGGAGTGACAAGGTGTGGCAGCTGAAATGTCCTCCTGTGAAATGGGACGACCCCCTTGGGCCAGTGTTTTGCATCGATTTCTGACTCAAGAGCAAATAATAGAAATGAAGAGACAGAAAGTGTCGTGGACGCCCTGGGAGGTGTGGACTGCAGGTAACTCTGTTGTATCACTGAGTTTTGTGCCTGAACAGCCTCAGTGTAAAGGGCCGTGTGGCCCTCGACCCCAGAGAGTCCAGGACACCCTGTGTCTGAGCCAGTTGCCCTGCCTGCGCGTGATGTCTCAGCCTTGAACACGAGACCTCTGGTCCTCTCTGCAGGCTCTCGGTGTGGTCCTGTTGTTCAGGCTTTTATGTGCTCCTTGCACAAAGACAAACTTTCCTGACAGTTTGGGATGATGGTGCACCACGTGCAGATTGAGCCTCATTAATAAACCTTGTGTCATTCATCTGTCTTATTTTGAATGTTATAAGAGCTGGTCACTGCCAGTGATGAGTGAAGTTAACTAGGAGCTTTGGAGACAGATTCAACTGTAGATCTTCTGTTCCGGTCTCTGTCAAACTGCTGCAGTCTGGACTCTGAAGCATTTACAAGATCATCTTCATCCTACTGCTCATGTCTTCAGAAGTCATTATTAATGTCATAAATTCTGCACAGGTGAAAACGTGTTTCTTTTTTTAACCACTTGTTTAACTGTTTGACTTGTTTGTAGGTTATTTAACTGGTCTGTCAATGTTCAGTGGTGTGAGCTGTCGTGTATGTTTCTGGTGCTTTTTGTTTCTCATAAAACTGCTATGGAAACAAAGTTTGCTTTGCTTTGCTGAATATTCAAGAGGCTCTGGTGCCTTTCTGTCTGTCAAGCGTCAGTAACCCACAGCTGAGGAGCTAAAC